GTGTGTGTCTGTATGTCTGTGTGTGTGTGTCTGTATGTCTGTGTGTGTGTGTCTGTATGTCTGTGTGTGTGTGTGTCTGTATGTCTGTGTGTGTCTGTATGTCTGTGTGTGTGTGTGTATGTGTGTGTGTGTGCATTTCAAAGCCCTGTCCAGAACGTGTCCATGGAGTGGGTGGTATTGATCAGAGGGAGAATATATAGTATTGGTGGAAGGAATTGTATTAGGGATGGCTAATAAAAAAGAATTATGGAGTCTCTGCACTCAGGGACATCCATACAGGTTGCTAAGATGTGGCAGAGAAATACACAGGGGTGGGCGAAGGAGGCAGGTCGGGTGGAAACTGCAGAACCTTTGCATTTGTGTAATCAGAAGTGTGGGCTGAGGAAGGAACACGGTGGGAGTTTGACGAAGGAAAGATTTTAGTGAAGGCTGAACTGCAGATTCGTCATCCTGATTGCCCTGACAATGGGACTCACCCCTCATGGAAATGGCATAATAATGAGGACAAGCCACATGCAAGTTAAGTAAACTAGACTTCGAGGATGAACAGAACTTGTCTAGCTAGCTCCATCTTTGGGGAAGTTCGAGGAGGAGTTAGGGAGGTATTTGGGCTGCAGGCTGGGCAAGTTTGTGAGAAACAACTACCAGATACATAAAGGGATCAGGCTGTGCTCGTGTGCTCTAGAGCCTCTGGAATCCCACACTCCTTTCCTTTCTCTTGCCCACTTTGGTGGAAGTCAGTGTAGACGACAGACCAGAAGCCATGCGTTGATGACGCTGACACTCTACTCCAGCCATTGGCAACCCTATCTAGAAGGACACCTGGACAAGAACTGGGGTGGGATGGATGATGGGAGAAGGGCAAGAGTGACTTGAAGTATCTTTCTTTTTATTTTTCTAGACTTTATGAGACTCACCATCTATTGAATTTAAATAAGATATCCTTTGTGAAAAAGCCTTTCGACATGACCAGGCCCAGACTTGCCAGTATTTGGTTACTCCTGGGGCCATGGACTTCTACTTTACATCAGTACAAAAGCTATTTCAGGCCTCTGGGTGAGACTGGGGATTGATAACACGTGTTCCATTTTCATCCTGTTGTCATCAGATGGGAGACTGACTGTCCTTTCCATCACTAAAAAGAAATAGCTCAGGATCACCAGGTTGTTAGAAAAGGCAGAGTGCAGAGAACACCTCGTCTTCATCTCTCCTGCTTCAGGAATCTCTGAGCACTAAGTCACAGAGCCCTTTAGGAAAGCCCTTTTCCTCTGGGGTTGTACTCTCCTTTGCCTCTAAAACAGGACTTAAAATGAGAGATACGCTGATACCCGTAACAGCAAAGATAGTGCCTTTGTTCAAAGAAGGCTGTGTCTGACCGCTTGCCAGGCTTGGAGATGCACCTTGGCAGGGCGGGCTGAGCCGTGGAAGGCCCTTCTGGAGGGGAAGGACACGAGGGCTGCCATGTGCCTAGTCCACCTCTACCCACCCCTGCCTGGTGCCACCAGTGTGGAAACTCCTTCATTAGGAACTCATTCCTCAGTCACGGGGACTGCTTCATTTATGGCGTAGACACCCTGGGAGGAGTGAGATGCTGTATTAGCTCCAAGTAGAGAGGACACCATGGAACAGTGGTTCTTCTTCTTCTTTATTTTTTTTTAAGTTTTGCTATAGGGCTCATGTGCTTGCCAGAGTGGGGAGGGAGAGAGGGAGAGAGAGAGAGACAGAGAGAGAGAGAACAAGAGAGAGAGAACTCATTCCCCCCAGGGAATGGCCACACCATTATCCCTTCTCTTCCATTCTCCTCTTGGAATCTTGGGCACATACACGTGTACACACACACACACACACACACACACACACACACACACAGTGTGATTTTCAAGCCACTGGGTCTGGGACTTGAACCTCACAGTTGACCCTGTGGGATCCAGTTGCCTTAACCACCATGCTACTGTCTGCCTCACGGACAGTTCTGAGAGAGCAGAGGTCTAGGGTGGGGATGAGGGAAAGGAGGAGCAGCACAGGCCCTGACTACAGAAAAATGGCAGGTTTGGCAGGGCTGGTTCACAGGAGATAGCTCTGGTCACCTGGGGCTACACCCACTCAAGATAACTCCAGGGTGCTGGTGAGGAAGCAGGGCTCAGTGGGCGAGGCGTGAGGCACAGAAACAAGAATGATCTGGTGGCTGTGGGCAGCTCAGGGGTGCCTGTACGATGCCTCAGGAGGCCCTTTTGGGGAAGGGTTTGGAGAGGGTCAGCACCTGCCAGCTCCTTCACCACAAGCCCCTGCAGAGCCCTACTACCTGGCCTAACATGGCCAAGGGCCTTCTCTCTGGCTGGTGACAAGGCTGCTCACAGCAACTCAGGCTTGACAGGGACGGCAACTTTGTGTGGAAAGCAGGTGGCATGGGGCTCAGCTCACCCCTCCCTGGGATAAGTGTGCCAAGACTGCTGACAGTCCTCCAAGGGCTGTGTCACCTCCCTGGAGGCACAGTCACAGGGCAGTGGCCTTGCCCTTCCCACTGGCAGAACACGACCTGTGAGAGGCCTGGAAAGGGCTGGGAAGAGGGAAGAGAAGACAGTGGAGATTGCGAAGGGTCCAGTTGGAAAGAGGGGCTTTGGGCATGAGAACCACACCCCAGTCCTCACCATCAGTCACTGTCCATGCACTGCACCCACCATGACACCCACAGAGGTGTGTGTCCCAGAGGCCGTGAAGCAGTTGACTGCTCTGGCCTGGGTCGCCTGTCTCTGGAAAAGAGTCAGCCTAGTTTCTAAAGACAAGCAAGACAAGGAAGCAGCTCCCAGTGCTGGGGCCTGTGCAGCCCAGGGCCTGGCTCGGGGTGACTGATGCTTGTCCTGCCATGGCTCCCTCCGAATGAGGACTCGAGAAGGAGCTGAGTGCAAGTAGTTTACGGAGGGTGATCCCAGGATGCACTGGAAGGAGGAAGGGGAAACGAAACGAGGAGGAGAAACAAGTGAACGTGGGGTCCAACAGTGAGGTTACTGGTGTGGGCGATGGGGTTCGCACCTGCAGTCAGGATCCTCTGGGAGATGGAGGTCAGACAGGCCTCCTGCTCCTGCTCCTGCTCCTGCTGGGTACAGAGCCGCACTCCCTCACCAAGTCTGGTTTGCCCTCGAGGCTGCTCCCGGCACACTAAGTCCCCAGCAGCCTGGCCTGCTTTGGGCACTGGCCGGGCATGCCCTGTGTCCAGGGAAAGCCCCAGGGAAATGGAGTAGCAATGGATGCCTTCACTGTGCAGGGCACGGTGAGAGCCAGGCGTTAAGGGTGGGCACTGCTGGCACCAGCTACCCTGATGTGAGGTGTTCAGTGAAGATACGATCTCAGAGAGGGGGGCTACAAGAGGATAATCCATCAACGCAGAGGGCAGGACCAGGCAGGACCAGGGAGGGACCTGAGCGGAGGCCTTGGGTGAGCAGCAGGAACAGACAGGGCCACTGGGCCCTAGAAAGGGTCCTAGAACCTGAATCACTTACACTGGCCTCAGAGATTGCTGGTGGCAAGGTCAGAACCAGAGAACCCAAGCCTCCTGACTCCCATCCCATGATATTGCCAACAGAGGCCTCTGCCCCACACCCTCTCCCTGGGCCGGCTGACAGTGAGCCTCACCACAGCGACATGCAGTAAGTCACTGGCCACCTGGCGGGCCCAGGGAGCACCCATTTCAATCGAGGTCAAGAGGGCCTGGGACAGGTGGGTGCTCCCAGATGGAGCCCCGTCATGTCTCTGAGTGGGAGTAGGTGTACACAGGGTTGTACACCTGACAACAAGAGGCTGTGGCTGGTGGAGACAGTGTCCTGACTCTCCTCTGTCACAGGAGCTGCCTGGACCTGAGCTGCCATCAAGTTCCTCAGACACGCACAGCAGACGCAGGACCAGGCAGCCGCCTCCACGAGGCAGGAGGAGGTGTCTGCATCGGCGGTCTCGTCTGATGGTCTGAGGCACCGGTGGCCTGGCGAGGGCTGACTGGCTGAGGACAGCGACGCGTCAGTGCCATGCAGTGACAAGATCTCCGCGAGTATTCCTGCTCTGGCTGGTTCCAAGAAGACACAATAAGACTGTAAATTGATGACACGGCATCTCGTTCTGCTCCCCAGAATTTCTCTTTGTTGCTAATTGTACAGTTGTGATATCTGGCCATTAAGGCATTAGAATGAAAGATGCTAAATAGAGCTACGCTCGCATGGAGTCGGATCTGTTTTTGTTGAACCTCCTCTCCTGCAGCTTTCCTTGCGACGGGATGTTGATGCTTTTTATCTACCTCTATTCATCAAGATGAAGGGAAAAAAATCCTCATCTGTTTCTGGCCAGAGTCAATAAAAGCGTGTTCAACCACACCGATACCATGGAGCAGGGTGTCATTCTTTTCTTTTTTTAAGCTCCCGTGCATCAGTACATCATCTTGAACGCTGGCAGAAGTAAGAAGAAAAAACACAGAGGCATCTATGTCATGACCTCCTCAGAGTCGTGGAATGTCAAAATTTCTTGTCCGGAATCACAGAGGCTCAGTCCTACCTCTATTCATCAAGATGAAGGGAAAAAAATCCTCATCTGTTTCTGGCCAGAGTCAATAAAAGCGTGTTCAACCACACCGATACCATGGAGCAGGGTGTCATTCTTTTCTTTTTTAAACTCCCGTGCATCAGTACATCATCTTGAACGCTGGCAGAAGTAAGAAGAAAAAACACAGAGGCATCTATGTCATGACCTCCTTAGAGTCATGGAATGTCAAAATTTCTTGTCCGGAATCACAGAGGCTCAGTCAGGCTTGGAGAGTCCGTGAGGCCAAGCACTCACTGGTTAGGCGAACCTTCGTGACCCAGCTGGCCCCGTTTCCTCCACATCTCCCGCCTCTGCACACCATCTATTTCAGTCTTCCCCACGTACACTGCCGCCTCTGCACACCATCTATTTCAGTCTTCCACATGTACACTGTGTTTTTCCAAACAATTACAGATGTCCTGTCTGTCTTAGGAAATATGGATAAAGAACGGAGCCATGTCTAGTGAATTTTCTTTCAAAATTGTGTCCTTTCTTCTGAGAAGAAAGGAACGTGGCACCCCAAACAGGGTCCTCAAGCTGCAATCCACCTCCAGCCTCAGACAGCTTGGATCATAGCTGTGCCTGCACCTGCCTGACACGTACAAGGTGGCCTTGGGACAGACACCCAGGACCTTCCCAGTGGGCCCAGCAGCGTTACTGCTGTGCCACTGTCTGGTCCTGATTTAAAAAAAAAAAAAGTTTCTGAAGATTCAGTGTATCAGACATTTGTTACCTCGACATACACCTCCAGAAGAATAATTCTCATTCCGAATGGACCACCTTTATTCCCCCTCATCCCCAGCCTCCTGTACAGGACTGTTTCCACACCTTGTGCTCATAGGTGAGTGCGACGTTCTAATTAGAAATCAGACATGGGTGGTGGAGTCTAAATGTGCAATTTCATCCACTCAAGGGCCAAAAATACCCAATCGTTGTTATCTGAGATTTTTCCAGGTGCAAGGAAGCGCTAAGGGAAGCTCCTGTCTTCTCATTTGCCTTGAGAAGAGAAATGGCAGCATTTAAGGATTCCCATCTGGAAAAGGCAAAGCCCTAATGTCTTAAACCTTCAAGCCTGAACTGAATCCTTATGCTTCTGGGGGTTGGGACAATTCTTTCCTGGTGTGTTGGGACGTCCCCCGTCCCTTCTCTAAGTCATCTGCTACTTAGAACCAGGGTGTGCGGCTAACCCTTCAGACCTCTCCTGCTGGATGGGCTCCTACAGCTACAGCTGCCTTTCAGACACTCTTCTCCGACCTCCACATGTCTAGACCCGGGTGCGTCTGCACCTGGAGCTGGGGAGGACGTGCTCTGACTCCTTTTCGGTAAGAAATTTGAGCCCTCCCAGGCCAGCCCCTCTGTAGGCTCAGCCTGATGTTCCAAAGGAGGCAAGGACTTGTTCAGTGACCGAGGTCAGTTATGGCCATGGAGGCCCTCTGTCTCTACCCACTGCTGCCACATTCCAGCCAGATGTCACTGCCTGCAGCGGCCCCATTCCAGCAGGCCCCGTCTGGCCAGGGTTTGTACACACTGTCATCTCTGCCTGGGACAGTCCCCTCACGCCTTTGCCAAGACGCCTTTCTTAACCCTCCATTTGGGGCTTGGGGTTCTGCTATCTGCACCCCTTCTTTTCGTCCTGGGTACCTGTGCTGGGTGGAGCTGATGCTCACCTGCCACCAGAAGGCAGGGGCCATGTCTGGGCTGGTGACTGCTGTACCCCAGCTCAGTGCTTGGCTCACAGCGAGACTCAACAAGTGTGTGCTAAGTGACTAAAATTGAAAGGAAGGGATAAAAGAAAAACAAAATCACAAAGACAGACAGACAAACAGACAGATAGGCACCTTCTTGCCCACAGCCCCATGGGACGGTTTCTCACTGGTTGCCAAGGTGGTTGGAAGGGCTGAGCGAAGTGGGTCCAGCTGCTTGTCCAGGCCCCCCCCACCAGTGAAGGCAGGACCCAGGCTGCACACTCAGCCTGCCAGCAACCAGACTGCCCAGCAGTGCCTGGCCCGAGTTTGGGGACCACACAGACTCTCTGCTCCCACTCTTGCCTGGACGCTTTGTGCTCAGACTCAGTTTACTCTGCTCCCTGCAGGGTGACCCAGAGAGGCTGCACTGTGCTCTTTCACATTCTCTCTCTAGCTGGACCAGTGCCTGCCCCATCACTCTAGCCAGCCTTGGCAGTGGTGGGTCTGGGGGCCGGAGCTACAAAGCCCTGGCCTGCCCTCTCTTGGCCCAGCTACAGCCTCTGGGCTCCCAGGCACTGGGTAGGAGATGAAGGTGACAGAGGGGCTTCTTCAGGGCCTGGGTGCCGCTGTCCTCAGGACAGCTCACTCCTCCCCCAGGTACGTGGTCCTTGTTAGCTGCTGGTCCCACGGAGCTGGGGACTGGGCTAAGTGCATATGCAGTCCCTAGCAGCCCCTCATGTCTACTGAGACCATGGCATCTCCTTTCCACGCCTCCACCTGGGGGCTGAGAGAGGGGAGCAAGAGGGCAATGGCTGCCCGTGCCCTTCAACGCCCGCTGCTTCCCATGACCGCCCTGCCTTTAGTGCTTCGCTTGGAAAGGCAGAGGCGGCTCGGAGCAGGGCTCAGACACCGTGGAGACAACACAGCACCCAGCACACAGCCCCTCTCGGAGGGCGAGGATGAGCACCCGGCAACCCTGCCCAGTTCTGATCCCAATGTGTTTTCACATTCAAGTGAAAGGACCAGTCTGCTTTCTTTTGACATAGAAGGTGCTGTCTCCTTTAAGAATTAGGGAAGGGGGGCTGGCCCTGTGGCCTAGTGGTTAAGGGATCTCTCATGGCTAACTGCATGGTTCAAATCTTGGCCTCAGGAGCTTGAAAAACATGCTGAACTTGTGTGTGTACATTCCCCGAATCCTGGCATGGTGGAGAAACGGAGGAGATGGGACTGCGGCATGACCATGCTCCACCGGGGGGTGCTTTCTCCTTCTCTCTGTTCGTTTTTGTCTAACATGTGCCTTCAGTGAAATAAAATTTAAAAAATTCAGAGGTGGGGAAGAGAAACACTTTGCTCAGTACTTCTGAGCACCCTGGGCTACCTGGTGTAACCTGGGCAAAGCCTCCTGCAGCGGCTGTGGGCAGGAAGGTACCTACCTATCTGGTCATCTGTGTTTTCGTTTTTCTTTCTTCCTTCTTTTCAGTTGTTTGGTCACTTGACATGCAGTTGTTAGGCCTTGCTGTGAGGGTCCTCCTGGGGGAGGGATGGCCTGGGTGCATGCACACTGTGTCACCTCCCTGCCCCTTCGCAGTGCAGCCAGGGGCACAGGCCCAGCCTTGGTGGGGTCACCTGTGAGGCAGCTGCCACCCAACAGCCCTGTTTGCCCTGATCCCTGGACATGCTGTCTCAGTCAAGGCCATTCTGTCCAAGGACTCCTTGGGCCCCCTGAGGAGCCTGGGGACAAAATGTATCTCCCGGAAGCCAGTCAGTCCCACCTGGGGAGTCTCTAGGACACCAGGCTGAGGCCGGACTGACCTTTAAGTACAGACGGGGTGTCTGGGGCTGTACCTGCGTGGGCTTCCTCCAAGGTGTGCAGGCCCTCCTGGGTCCCCAGACCTAAGTGTTTGTCTGTCAAAGACATGACAATATTTAAACAGGGAATCTGAGGGACTGTTTAATTGAGTTTTGAATTTATACTTGAGTTTTCAAGAAGGAGAAACAAGACAATCCTCTTAAACAACTTCCATGAAAGGTTGTAAAGCACAGATAATTTACAGGTGGAGCAGATGGCAGGCTGGGTTCTGTTCTAGGCCAACCACGTGTCCCTTGGCAGTTCTCTTTAATGGCTACTACGAGTTTATATGCGGTTTATAAATTCGAGGGCTCGCGGTTTCCTGTGTGATTGGTTGGAGCGTGTACAATTGTACCAGCCATGACCTTCACTCCTTCCGAGGAGACTCTTCCTACCCTATCCCTATTCAGGGACACCTGGAGCCACCAATCCCCAGGTCACATGCACGGGCAGGTCTGCACCGCCTGCTGCAGACGCTGCAGCTCTGCCTGCTCCCCACGTCTGGCATTTGTACTCCTGGTTCCGGATCATCCCCCTCACCCCCCTCAGGTGTTCTCTACTTTTTGGGTGACCACCCCACCCCCCTGTGTCCGAAAAGACCATGGGAGGCCTCCTCTCTCCCAGGGGCCTAGCAGGCTGCAGTCTCCCAGCCCATCCTCTGTCAGGCAGTCAGCCCTATCCCAGGTTCCAGGCCTGGCCCTGGGCCCAGCTCGCTGCGTGGCTTCTGCATCCTGTGCCTTCTCTGACCCTCAGCCTCAGCGCTCAGCTCCAGGGGTCGACTGGGGAGCAGCTGCGGCATCGGGAGGCAGGGGAAGGAAACATGGGCCTGGAGTGTCACGAAGACCGAGTAGCTCACACGAGGTAGAGAGAAGGCTGCTCGGATAATTCCATTTCCTGTGAACTTCTCAAGACCTGGTGACACTATACCTTTGGGACTCCTCTGCCCGGGGCACAGAGTCGCCATGTGCCATGGCATCGGGGTAAGCGCAGAGGTGGTAGAGGAGTGGTGATGGCCAACACCCCAGCAGACCTGTGTGCCGGACACCATGGCAGACCTCATCTATGAGGTCAGCATTGTCACCAGCCTACACTGCAGCCGATGGAGCCGAGGCGTGGAGTGAGGGTGCCACTGCCCAAGGCTCTCTTGGGCACATTTCCAGCCCAGGTCTCTGTTCCCCAAGTCTGCACTCTGACCACTGTGCTATCCTGACGATTCTGAAGGCAAAACCTTCACCTGATGAATCAAAATAATATACGAAAGCCGTATCTCCAGGAAATGGCCACACCCTGGGCTTAAGAGAAGCACTCCGGCTCGCAGAGGGGTAAAAACAACACCCTTGTGAGAGCTAGGGTCGGATTTCTGCAGTTCAAACCTGATAAAGCTCACAGAGACACATGATGAGCAGAAATGCACCCAGGATTATTATTTTTTAAATGCCACTTTAGTGTGAACTCTATAATCCCAGCATTTTGGTGGAAATTTCCTAATGTTTTAGCAGAACTTTCCTTTTTTTCTCCTTTCTTTCTTTCTTAGAACAGATGGCAAGATTGTTATCTTGACTCACTTCGAGGAGGAAATTGTCATTTCTACCCTCTGTTTGCATGTGTGAGCACACCGTGTTTCACATATTAGCATGGAAGTAGCTGTGTTTGGTCTTTGCTCACACTTGAGCTGGTGAGAAGACACTTTAAATTAAGCACTGCCAGTAAACAGTGATCATAAAGTCTCAGGGAGAAAACGTTCCACTAATTTGCCCCTGCTGAAACCATATGCTGCCTCCCTCCCCGGGGCTGCCCTTCTGAATGGCTTCTGCTGACTCTGTAGACAGAGTCGTGACTTCGAGCCTTTTCTCTCCACTCTGTCTTCTGCAGGCCCTGTGTGACCTTCCTCCATGATCCAGGAGCTCACTGGGCCCAGCACCCACCTGTCTGAAGGGGAGAAGCTTCCAGGGCTAACACTGCTGGGCATCACCTGGGGCACAGGTGTGTGGAAGGCTGTGCGTGGCTGGCCCCCAGGTGTCACTGCTGGTTGTGATGCATTCACTCCTAGCACACAGGAGAAGGGCAGGTGCTCCCTGCTCCTGTGCTTCCGGGCGGGGGTGGAGGGCACACAAAGGGAAGGGGTACAAGAACAAATGTGAACTGGGAGCTGTGGGGCACTCCCCTCTATTAAAGCTCACCTGACCTTGTCAGTCTCCTCACAGGGTCACCATTAGGAATGCATTAACACCCTCATTCTAGAGACCTAAGTCTGAGGCTGACCCCTTCCCAGGGTGGGGCTCTGAACTTCTTGTCTTTTTGGACAAACTCCCCAGATGCTTTTCAAGCACAGTGAAGCTTGACACCCAAAGGTGATAAAATGGGGATTTAAATTCAGGTCCTCACACCCAGGTCTCTTTTTAAGCCACAGCTGCCACCAATGTTTCAGGTAATCAACTGACTAATTCACACCCAGATGTTTAATGGCCAATTGCCTAATTTATACTGGGGAGGTAATTCTGACAATGGTCGAACAGGTTTTCCCTGCCAGGTAGCATTTGCATTTCAGCAATGGCCTTCAGGCATAGAAACAGACATTGTAAAGGGAGGGAGAATCACGAAAACTCCCCTGCTCCTTTATCCCCTTGGCCTAAGGACTCCCCACTTACCACACTCAAGCTTGCAGCAGGCCTGGCGGAAGGTGGCTGTGCCTTTGCCTGACATTGCACCTCAGTGCCTCTCTTAGACCAGCGCTGCCGAATGAATGCTGCATAGGATGGCCCCTGACCATCTTCTTCAAGACTGGACCTGGTGCCTTGTCTGGGGACATCTTAACACCATATGAAGTCCCATGGAACTGGGCACCACATAAAAACTTCAGAGACATGGGGAGGGGCTTGCATGACTGTTGGGTCTGTAGAGCTAGCACAGCCAAGTGGAACTACTGGCCAATAGTCCAGCATAGGTGGGCTCCTTAAGGGCATGAGCACTGTGCTGGGGAGGGGGTCAGGAGGCCAGAGCCTTGGGTCTGTAGCCTAGTAAAGCAATTAAGAGTGATCTCCACATGGGGAAATCCTGGGAAACAGACAGCAGCTGAGAGGCTGGACCCAGAGAGTTTTCTACATGCACTTAGCTCACAGAAACACATGATGAACAGCAAGGCACACAGGATTTTTGGCGAAAATCTGGGTGTAGGCTGAAGGACGACCCCACAGTCAGCCTCCTCTCTGGCATTTCAAGGTCTATAGCAACAGCCCAGATTTCTTTCTGAGATGGCAGATTTTCCCACTGGGCACTCTCTTTTCATCCCCTGCCCCCAACATCACTGTGCAATTCATTTTTCCCTGCAGGCCTTTTAAGTATTGGCAAAGGTAGGAAATCCAAAGAAAATGAAATAGAGGGCAAATTGGATTTCATCCTGAGTGAAAGAGATCTCTAGCGATTGACCCCAGGCCCTCTGCTCTTTGAGTTCCACGAGGCCTTTCCTGGGCACACCTTGTGGTCAGTTGTCCAGTTGAAGTTACAATCCAGGCTCCTCTTACTGGCGCTAGGTCAAGTTCAATTCAGAAATGTGAAAGGCCTTTTGTGTTTGGCAGCCACTGTATAAGTGGCTTTGGAACAACCACTTCTCAGCTGACTTTGAAAGAAGAATTCTTTCTGCTAAGAGCTTTAATCAGCTTCTTTACCAAACACAAATATGAGCCTTTTATTTTGATATCCTGGGGGGAAAGAAAAATCCAGGATGCAAACCCAATAACCAAGCCAATTTCTACCAAGGGGAACTTTTACAAGCAGACCAGCTGTAGGATCCATTCTCTTTCTGACACACAATATGGATCTCCCCAAGAGGAGGAGGCAGAGGAGGTCACCTGAGGGTGAACCTACTGAGCCCAGAGTGATGGGCCTCTCAGGAGCTCCAGGCTCAGCCAGGACTATGCCTTAATGGCTGGGGGGGGGGGTCCGGGGGGCGGGCCGCCCCCTCCGCGCGTCCAGTTGAAGTTACAATCCAGGCTCCTCTTACTGGCGCTAGGTCAAGTTCAATTCAGAAATGTGAAAGGCCTTTTGTGTTTGGCAGCCACTGTATAAGTGGCTTTGGAACAACCACTTCTCAGCTGACTTTGAAAGAAGAATTCTTTCTGCTAAGAGCTTTAATCAGCTTCTTTACCAAACACAAATATGAGCCTTTTATTTTGATATCCTGGGGGGAAAGAAAAATCCAGGATGCAAACCCAATAACCAAGCCAATTTCTACCAAGGGGAACTTTTACAAGCAGACCAGCTGTAGGATCCATTCTCTTTCTGACACACAATATGGATCTCCCCAAGAGGAGGAGGCAGAGGAGGTCACCTGAGGGTGAACCTACTGAGCCCAGAGTGATGGGCCTCTCAGGAGCTCCAGGCTCAGCCAGGACTATGCCTTAATGGCTGGGGTAGTGGCTCTGGGCGCCAGCCTGCCACTGCCTCTCAGCTGTCTGCACATACACACCTTCCACTCACAGCCCACAGGGCTCGGGGGAGCCCTGAGAACCATCACTCATCTTGTCCATCTTTCATAATTCAGGAGAATCAGGGTTAAAAAAAGTGCATGAACAATTGACAAAATTTATATGCTGCAAGTGGACGAGCTGGCATCCTCTTGCATCATAAAGTTTAAATAACAGTGGTTTAACACCAGATGTAGGTGCAGCTGTCCTGAGCGGAACGCCATTAGCTCCATTACGACAGGAGGTGGTGCTTTTCCCAGTTCAGCATCCCCAGGAAAACATCACACCTGTCATCTCAGCACCGTAAACAGCTGACTTGATGCAGGAGTCTACACAGCGCCTTTCAGATCAGATCCATCAAGGAGCCGGGGCGTTGGCAGAGGAGGGGAGACCAGGGCTGAGGCTAATGGAGAGGTGCCAGATGATGCCAGTGCTTAGTGCCTGCTAGACAAGACCCGCCTCCAGGCCACCCCAGGGGCCACGCTTCACAGTGTAGGAGCATGGGCTGTGTGTGGAATAGAGAGCGGCATAGAAGGAGAGGAAGGGAGAAAGCGACCGAGAGAGGGAGAAGGGGGAAGAGGACAGAAAAGCAAAGAAGCAAGGAGCAGCAGATGGGGAGAAAGATGGAGGGAAGCATGGAGGAGTGGGAGTGAGTTCTGGGCCTGAGCACCTGAGAGAAGGACCCTCCTCCAAAGTTTTGGCCCAACTCTTTAAGCATAGGAGAATTGAATTAATCTGGGTGGGCAGGGCCTATGAACATTGATTGGTCCCACCTGCATTGACTGATGGTCAGTGTTTCCATTCCAATTGGGAATCCTTCTGAGGGCCTGCCATACACAAAGGGAAAGCTGAGAACACCAACAGCAGTGAGAGGCCAGTAGGCTGAAGCACACGCACGGGCCAGAGCCGCCAGCCAGCCTCTGTCTATTGGGCTCGACTGGGATCTGGGGATCTGTGGGGCACCTGGCTGGGCCAGAGCAGTCTCATCTCACAGAGGAGAAACTGAGGTCCAGAGGGTGGGAAGGGATTGCTGCTCTAAGGACCCTGAGCAATTCAGAAGGAACAAAATCGTCAGAGTCAGGCAGAAGAATTGGACTTTTCTGTTTCTCTGGCAATGAATTTGCTGTAACTCAAGGAGAGAACACCAACTGCAGGCCACTAACTGCAGGCACCAAGGTGACCCAGGCCTGAGTGAGAAGAGCCGTCTGTCCTGCTCTCGGTTTGCCTGCATCTTCTCCCTGTGTCAGGTACCGTGGATGTGACTGGAAGGCCTGGGGCGCACTCCAGCAGGAGCCTGCCCCTGGTTTGGGAGACAGACTTGCAGTGTCGGGGCCAGCTGACGCCCATATAGCAGGTCACTGTAACAAGGATGGAGCCCCTGGCCTTGCACAGGGGAGTGGATGGTGGTGGGAAAGGTCAAGGGAGGCCCCAGTAATACCCTCGAGTTTCAGGGGCTGTGCCAATCTCACAACAGCCTTCCTGGGAGCCACAGGACACACATGGGTGACCATTC